CAATCAAAGAGGAGTCTCTTGATTCTTTCAGGTCTATGAAGGAGGCAATGTCTTGCTAATCGTTGGAATTTGTTTCACTTAACCTGGCTGCATTTTTATAGATCAGTTAAACTCTCGTTTCTTACCTCACCTTTGAAGACTTGGGTAAATTTTTCTCATTGCATTTTCCACCTCCACCCTCGTTCATGGCCATCAACTGTCAGAACCTAAGCTTTTCCTGGCCCCATGGGACCTAGTCTGGGTAGGAGCCCACTGCTGATAACCTGCATCCAGATAGTTGTCAGATGTGACAAGAGTGCCCAGGACGGGGATGTTTTCCTGGTCAATGACAAGATGCCCTTTGTTCTTTTGTGCATTTGATCCACATCTTTCACCACTGTGCCCAGAGCTCCTGCTCACTTTCAGAGCGAGGCTCCTCACGGACAGTGCATCCCTCCCAGGAGCCAGGCTGCAGTCACCGCCACTGTGAGGCTGGAGACAAAAGTGCCACAGAGCTCACAGGCTGCTCCTTAGAGAGGTTTCATTTGCACAAAACTGAGTCTTGGTATGTGGATTGGTCTGAATGGCATTTTGGATTTATTTTTTCCTCCAATACTTGTAAATCCAGTGTTTGTGAAATATTATGTGTGCCTGGTGTAGTGGTGGCCTGCATTCCAGAAAGTTTGTGTTGCTCTCCATGTGGATTTCCAAGGTTGCTCCCGAGTGCTTTATGCGCAATGCTCCAAAATATGAGGGTGAACTCTTGCTAGTGGTTACTTGGCATTGTGTTTTTAACTGACCTCAACTCTCACAGTTTTAATCATAATTCCAAGAGGACTATGTGATGCAAATCTTTCTGGACTTGGAAAATCTGACATGAAGTGCCCGTTTCAGCAGTAGTGAACATTGATTTTCAAAAGATAATGTTTCTAGAAACTTGGGTAAACAACAATCTGTGATTATTTTTGTTGGCATATAACCTGGGTGCTCTTATTACAGCAGCTGTCCACTCTCGGTTCTGTGCATAGATAAACATATATTTAGGTAGTATTTTCATCTGTAACTTTAAGACTTTTTAAAAATATTTTTCTCATTTTTCCACATATTGTTATAAAAATTTCTCCTCAAGAAGAATTACTTAGAAGAGACGATACAAATCTGAAGTGTAACATTGCTAACTTAGAGAAGTACACACACTGGCATATCCCAACCCCTTTCAAAATCTGCAATATTACGTCACCCCAGAAACTGAACTCTCCCTCTTCCCAACCAATCCCTTTCTCATCAGAGGTTGAGTTTGCTTCTTCTGGAATTTGACGTCTACAGATGCATGCCATGCCCAGGTACTCTGGTGTCTGTCTGATTCTGCTCAACACAATGTTTCTGAAATCGTTCCCATTGTTGCACTGATCTCTAACTCAGTCCTTTCCATTTTGGACTTTGCAAATGCTCAGTCCACCCTGTTGAATACCTATCTCTGTTTAATTCACCATCTTGAAAGAAACACTTGAAATTAAGATATTTTCAAGAACATACAGTTCAATCCTGAGGAATCTGTGTAGCAATGTTCTCAGAAGGTGTCTCAACTTACTCAGGGGAAGTCTTTTTCTTCATTCATGTTAAGAGTCTAGGCCGGGCGCGGTGGCTCAAGCCTGTAATCCCAGCACTTTGGGAGGCCGAGGTGGGTGGATCACGAGGTCAAGAGATCGAGACCATCCTGGTCAACATGGTGAAACCCCGTCTCTACTAAAAATACAAAAAATTAGCTGGGCATGGTGGCGCGTGCCTGTAATCCCAGCTACTCAGGTGGCTGAGGCAGGAGAATTGCCTGAACCCAGGAGGCGGAGGTTGCGGTGAGCCGAGATCGCGCCATTGCACTCCAGCCTGGGCAACAAGAGCAAAACTCCGTCTCAAAAAAAAAAAAAAAAAAAAGAGTCTAATGGAATTAATATCAACGATCTTAGCTATTCAGGCCATGTTCATGATCCCCACTTGGGCATTTTTATACTTATTTCTGAATGAAATCATCTCTTTATTTTATTTAATTTTTTAAATTTTTTTTTTTTTTTGAGATGGAGTTTTGCTGTTGTTACCCAGGCTGGAATGCAATGCTCGGCTCACCGCAACCTCCGCTTCTTGTGTTCAAGCAATTCTCCTGCCTCAGCCTCCTGAGTAGCTGGGACTACAAGCTTGTGCTACCATGCCCAGCTAATTTTTGTATTTTTAGTAGAGATGGGGTTTCACCATGTTGACCAGGATGGTCTCGATCTCTTGACCTCATGATCCGCCCGCCTCAGCCTCCCAAAATCCTGGGATTATAGGCATGAGCCACCGCGCCCAGCCTGTCATCTCTTTATTATGGTTTTTTGATTTACGCTGTTTTGTTTTTGTTTTTGTTTTTGTTTTTGAGATGGAGTCTTGCTCTCTCACCAGGCTGGAGTGCAGTGGTGTGATCTTGGCTAATTGCAACCTCCAATTCTCTGGTTCAAGCAATTCTCCTGCCTCAGCCTCCTGAGTAGCTGAGGCTACAGGCATGTGCCACCACACCCAGCTAATTTGCATATTTTTAGTAGAGATGGAGTTTCACTATGTTGGCCAGGATGTTCTTGATTGCCTGACCTCGTGATTCACCTGCCTTGGCCTCCCAAAATGCTAGGATTACAGACGTGAGCCACCACACCCAGCAACTTATGCTTTAGATGGCAGAGATTCATGTAATCTAAGATAGAAGTGTGATTCACAGGGATTCTGGATTCTTTTATCATGTGACACCTAATAAATACTTCCAATGTTGTATGTCAATTTAAAAAGTAAGTAACTTTAAAACAATGATAATTACTTTATACGTAGCTTGTCAAACCCACAGGTGACAGGCCGCATGCAGCCCAGGGCAGCTTTGAATGTGGCCCAACACAAATTTGTAAACTTTCTCAAAACATTGTGATTTTTTTTTGCAATTTTTTTAAAGTTTTCAGCTATTTTTAATGTTAGTGTATTTTACGTGCAACTCAAGACAATGCTCCTTCTTTTACGACGGCCCAGAGAAGCCAAAAGATTGGACATCCCTGCATTAGACCAAGAGAAAAGACACCCCCACATTCACAATGCTTACAAACACTACCAGCCATTCAAGAACCATGAGACTGTTAACTTCCAATCCTTCTTGAAGCAGTGGGATCCCCTGGTGATAGCTGAGGGGTGTGGTTACCTCTTTGAGGAAGTTAAGGGTTTCTAAGGATGATTCCTTGTGACTGAAATATGGTAAATGTCATTGAGCCTCTCATTATTCCATCTATTATTATTCCAGGTCATCGATGTCCTGCCTGAAAGTTTGTATCCTGGGCCTGGCTTTTCTGAAATTCCCTGGATGCTTATAATTGCTGTCTCCCTGGGAATTTGTTCCCTTGCCATTTTGTTGTGGATAACTAGCCTTGGTGTGAGTATACTAACTTCCTATAGAGGTAAACTTGTAACCATAAATACGAAATTATTTAGAACAATTCTGAACTTTATTATGAATATTGAATTTTACAAAAAACAAATCAGGGAAATGATTTATTACCCTAAGAATAATGAAAATATCTACCATTTACAGAATGAAAATTAAGTAGGTTCATGTTTGTTTAATAGGATATCAACAGCACTTTTGGTCAAAAATACGTTTTTTACCCTTGTGTGATTTTATCAGAAATGAAGAAAAGGTAAATGCTGGAGTCATTTTCACTCTATTACAGGACACTTTTGTCTTTTCCCACAGCACCCTCTCCTGGCTGGGTCTCTGCTCTGTGGGTTCTGGGTGCCTTTTCTTTCTGCCCTTTTTCAAAGCAAAATCTTCCCCATGAGCTTCCAGGCTTCTCCATTCCCAGCTGGTCATCTTTGTTGGCACTGCCAGAAGCCGTGAAGGCTTAGGGGCTGAGAACTGAAGGGCTTCCATTGTTCCGTTTGCAGAAATAACACGAGGCGATGCCACTGAACCCCACTGCTGGAGGTCTCATGGCCCAGGGAATCCTGACTGATCCATTTGACTCCAGATATTGTGGGGTCTTGTTTCCAAAATATGTAGGGTTTTGTTTTGTGCTGTGATTTTATTTCTCTTCTTCTATAAGGTAGGTGATTAGCATTCAGAATATCTGCTGTAATTCCGGGAGTGAAAAAAAGTCAAAACTCATTAATCCAACATTAATTAGTATGTGCTGTGTGCCATTTTGAATACTCCCGGACAAAGTCAGTGCCATAATTCATCACAGTCCCATCTGTGTTGTGCAGCGTTGCTCCCACTCCCACCCAGTGGCACCCTAGATCTCACATTCTAGGTAGAAGGGGTTCCTCATTTGTAAGAGAGAATGTGCCCTGGCTGAGAGGTAGTGAAGAGTGAACGCCACTCATTACCTACAAGGACACTTTCCAGTGAAGACCTTCAACGATGCTCAGTGAAGCTAGCTCTCGTTGGCCTCTATAGTTTTGAAAGCTGCTGAGTCCTCTGATCACACATGGTGGGACTTGTACACCTGCAATCAAAAACATTTTTAAAACGTCTGTTGTGTTGTTTAGAATTCCCACTTCATTTTTCCGTGGAAAAAAATATTATTTTTTATGTCATAGTGCACTTAAAAGTTGTTATGACCTGGAAGTTAAAAGAAATACAATAGTTGTGCCAAACGCACATCTGTATGTAGGATTATTCTGTCAGAAAACCCTCTCCCAATTCCGCTGCAGGTTTTCAGGAATCCAGATCTCCCCAGAGATCTCTGTGCCCACAGGTGGCACCTCCAGAGTGGCGAAGAGCCTTTGCCAAGAAGTGAAGCAGAGGGGGCATGAGAGGTCCTGCGGGTAGAGCTGGAACCGACTTCCACTCCACCTCCTGCAAGCTGTGTATCTCAGGGTGAACGTTCTCCTTCCTTTAGGAGACTCTGTTTTCTTAGATTTGGAGCAGGGTGGTCACACTGACCTTGCAGAGTTCTGAGAATCAGTACAGAACATGAAAAGCCTGGAGAACATTCTCTCAAGAATAGCTGTGACTTAGCTTTGCATAGCGGCAGTATTGTAGCCAATGAGGTTTATCCGAGGTATGATTATGGCTGATTTAAAACTTTTCCAATACCCTGCTGTGACAACTTGCAATACAATCGGCATTGGCAATTTGTAGAGACTGTCAAAAATTGCCAATGCCAATTATATAACAATGTGGATACACATAGACACCCTGATGTGAGAAACATGCTTCTTTATTACTGTGTAGTGACTCTGTCATCCCTGGGACAGGCCCCCAGCCTGCCTACATTTGCAGACAGAGACAGTGGCATGGGGACTACAGTTTGTCCCCATGGCTTGTTTTCACTCCCCTGCTGTCAGCAGGACTCGGTGCAATGGATGCTTTATGGCACCGATGCTGCCATTTAGAAACCTGAAGACGGGAAGGGGCAAGGGACCGTCACCTGCGGCATCAGGTGCAGCTTGTGTGCGTGTTGGTGTTTTCCATGTTAAAAGATTTCAAAATATTTCCGCCTCTGCCCTGCAGGTCAACATGGCTGAACCGGAGCACTGTCCTCTGCAAGAATGGCCCAACCTACCCTACTACATGGATGACCCTTCCAGACCACTGATAGGCTGCCAGGCACCTACTCAACATCTGGGTCCTCTGGGACTTAGATCACTGTCACATCAACCAGCTCTTGAACGTGAATGTCCCCAGGAAGTCCAACAATTTCCAATACTACAGTGCCCACTGGGACATCAACCACCTCCAGAACTTGAGTGTGCTATGGAAGTTCAACAACCTCCTATGCTACGGTATCCACAGAGACCTGAACCAACTCTTGAACTTGAGTGTTCACTGGAAGTGTTCACTCAACAACCTTCTTTACCTGAGAATTCTCCCGGACCTCAGACACTACCTATACCCGAGTGTCTTCTAGAGCCTGAAGCACCGTTTCCAACTGAAGCATTACTGCCACCCCTGGTACCTTCCCTAATCGAGTGTTTCCTGGGACCTCAACCACCAACTCCAGCTGATTGTTGGGTAGGAATTCTCACATATCTGGTGACCTGTCCTCCAGAACCTGTACCAACTTCTCCAGGTGAAGATTTTCCGGAACCTGAGTCACAGCCTTCATTCGGGTTTCCCGTGGGACCTCAACCAACACCTCCGGAAGAAGGCAATCTGGAACCTCAAACACCTGATGCACTCGAGTGTTTGCTCGGAGCTGAAACAGGTCCTGTAATGGAGTGCACACTGGGTCATCAACCACCTCCAGAATGTGAGTGTCCCCTGGAAGATCAACAGCCTCCTATAATGCAGTGTGAATTGAGACCTCAACCAGCTCTTGAACGTGAGCGTCCCCTGGAAGATCAACAACCGTCTATAACACAGTGTTCACTGGTACCTCAACCAGCTCTTGAACGTGAGTGTCACCAGGAAGTCCAACAACCTCTAATACTACAGTGTCCACTGGGTCCTCAACCACCTCCAGAACGTGAGCGTCCCCTGGAAGTTCAACAACGTCCAATATTGCAGTGCCCACTGGGACCTGAACAACCTCTTGAACGTGAGTGTCCCCAGGAAGTCCAACAACCTCCAATACTACAGTGCCCACTGGGACATCAACCACCTCCAGAACGTCAGTGTCCTATGGAAGTTGAACAACCTCCTATACTACAGTATACACAGGGACCCCAACCACGTCTTGAACAAGAATGTCCCCTGGAAGATCAACAACCTCCTATAATACGATGTCCACTGGCACATCAACGGGCTCTTGAACGTGAGTGTCCCCAGGAAGTCCAACAACCTCTAATTCTGCAGTGTCCAATGAGACCTCAGCAACCTCTAGAACGTGCGTGTCCCCTGGAAGTTCAGCAATCTCCAATATTACAGTGCCCACTGGGACCTGAACAAACTCTTGAATGTGAGTGTCCCCAGGAAGTCCAACAACCTCCAATACTACAATGCCCACTGGGACATCAACCACCTCCAGAACATGAGTGTGTTATGGAAGTTCAACAACCTACTATGCTACGGTATCCACAGGGACCTGAACCACCTCTTGAACTTGAGTGTTCACTGGAAGTGTTCACTCAACAACCTTCTTTACCTGAGAATTCTCCCGGACCTCAGACACTACCTATACCCGAGTGTCTTCTAGAGCCTGAAGCACCTTTTCCAACTGAAGCATTGCTGCCACCCCTGGTACCTTCTCTAATCGAGTGTTTCCTGGGACCTCAACCACCAACTCCAGCTGATTGTTGGGTAGGAATTCTCACATATCTGGTGACCTGTCCTCCAGAACCTGTACCAATTCCTCCAGGTGAAGATTTTCCAGAACCTGAGTCACAGCCTTCTTTCGGGTTTCCAGTGGGACCTCAACCAATATCTCCGGAAGAAGGTTATCTGGAACCTCAAACACCTGATGCACTCGAGTGTTTGTTCGGAGCTGAAACAGGTCCTGTAATGGAGTGCACACTAGGTCATCAACCACCTCCAGAATGTGAGTGTCCCCTGGAAGATCAACAGCCTCCTATAATACAGTGTCAACTGGGACCTCAACCAGCTCTTGAACGTGAGCGTCCCCTGGAAGATCAACAACCGCCTATAACACAGTGTTCACTGGTACCTCAACCAGCTCTTGAACGTGAGTGTCGCCAGGAAGTCCAACAACCTCTAATACTACAGTGTCCACTGGGACCTCAACCACCTCCAGAACATGAGCGTCCCCTGGAAGTTCAACAACGTCCAATATTGCAGTGCCCACTGGGACCTGAACAACTTATTGAACGTGAGTGTCCCCAGGAAGTCCAACAACGTCCAATACTACAGTGTCCACTGGAACATCAACAACCTCCAGAACGTGAGTGTGCTATGGAAGTTCAACAACCTCCTATGCTGTGGTATCCACAGGGACCTGAACCACCTCTTGAACTTGAGTGTTCACTGGAAGTGTTCACTCAACAACCTTCTTTACCTGAGAATCCTCCCGGACCTCAGACACTACCTATACCCGAGTGTCTTCTAGAGCCTGAAGCACCTTTTCCAACTGAAGCATTGCTGCCACCCCTGGTACCTTCTCTAATCGAGTGTTTCCTGGGACCTCAACCACCAACTCCAGCTGATTGTTGGGTAGGAATTCTCACATATCTAGTGACCTGTCCTCCAGAACCTGTACTACATCCTCCAGGTGAGGATTTTCCGGAACCTGAGTCACAGCCTTCTTTCGAGTTTCCAGTGGGACCTCAAACAATACCTCCGGAAGAAGGTAATCTGGAACCTCAAACACCTGATGCACTCGAGTGTTTGCTCGGAGCTGAAACAGGTCCTGTAATGGAGTGCACACTGGGTCATCAACCACCTCCAGAATGTGAGTGTCCCCTGGAAGATCAACAGCCTCCTATAATACAGTGTCAACTGGGACCTCAACCAGTTCTTGAACGTGAGCGTCCCCTGGAAGATCAACAACCGCCTATAACACAGTGTTCACTGGTACGTCAAGCAGCTCTTGAATGTGAGTGTCGCCAGGAAGTCCAACAACCTCTAATACTACAGTGTCCACTGGGACATCAACCACCTCCCGAACGTGAGTGTGCTATGGAAGTTCAGCAACCTCCTATGCTACGGTATCCACAGGGACCTGAACCACCTCTTGAACTTGAGTGTTCACTGGAAGTGTTCACTCAACAACCTTCTTTACCTGAGAATTCTCCCGGACCTCAGACACTACCTATACCCGAGTGTCTTCTAGAGCCTGAAGCACCTTTTCCAACTGACGCATTGCTGCCACCCCTGGTACCTTCCCTAATCGAGTGTTTCCTGGGACCTCAACCACCAACTCCAGCTGATTGTTGGGTAGGAATTCCGACATACCTGGTGACCTGTCCTCCAGAACCTGTACCAACTCCTCCAGGTGAAGATTTTCCGGAACCTGAGTCACAGCCTTCATTTGGGTTTCCCGTGGGACCTCAAACAACACCTCCGGAAGAAGGTTATCTGGAACCTCAAACTCCTGATGCACTCGAGTGTTTGCTCGGAGCTGAAACAGGTCCTGTAATGGAGTGTGCACTGGTTCATCAAACACCTCCAGAATGTGAGTGTCCCCTGGAAGATCAACAGCCTCCTATAATACAGGGTCAACTGGGACCTCAACCAGCTCTTGAACGTGAGCGTCCCCTGGAAGATCAACAACCGCCTATAACACAGTGTTCACTGGTACCTCAAGCAGCTCTCGAATGTGAGTGTCGCCAGGAAGTCCAACAACCTCTAATACTACAGTGTCCACTGGGACCTCAACCACCTCCAGAACGTGAGTGTCCCCTGGAAGTTCAACAACATCCAATATTGCAGTGCCCACTGGGACCTGAACCACCTCTTGAACGTGAGTGTCCCCAGGAAGTCCAACAACATCCAATACTACAGTGCCCACTGGGACATCAACCACCTCCAGAACGTGAGTGTGCTATGGAAGTTCAACAACCTCCTATGCTACAGTATCCACAGGGACCTGAACCACCTCTTGAACTTGAGTGTTCACTGGAAGTGTTCACTCAACAACCTTCTTTACCTGAGAATTCTCCCGGACCTCAGACACTACCTATACCCGAGTGTCTTCTAGAGCCTGAAGCACCTTTTCCAACTGAAGCATTGCTGCCACCCCTGGTACCTTCTCTAATCGAGTGTTTCCTGGGACCTCAACCACCAACTCCAGCTGATTGTTGGGTAGGAATTCTCACATATCTGGTGACCTGTCCTCCAGAACCTGTACCAACTCCTCCTGGTGAAGATTTTCCGGAACCTGAGTCACAGCCTTCATTTGGGTTTCCAGTGGGACCTCAACCAACACCTCCGGAAGAAGGTTATCTGGAACCTCAAACACCTGATGCACTCGAGTGTTTGCTCGGGGCTGAAACAGGTCCTGTCATGCAGTGCGCACTGGGTCATCAACCACCTCCAGAATGTGAGTGTCCCCTGGAAGATCAACAGCCTCCTATAATACAGTGTCAACTGGGACCTCAACCAGCTCTTGAACGTGAGCGTCCCCTGGAAGATCAACAACCGCCTATAACACAGTGTTCACTGGTACCTCAAGCAGCTCTTGAATGTGAGTGTCGCCAGGAAGTCCAACAACGTCCAATACTACAGTGCCCACTGGGACATCAACCACCTCCAGAACGTG